TTTGTCTGTTCACTCAGCCATTGCCAACAATGGTAAAACAATGGTAAAACAAAGGAATGTGCATGGTCACGCTTGAAAAAAGTGAACAAAGACCTATAAAAATAGGTTTCATAACCATTCCCCTCTAACTATGGTGCAATATAGAGTTAGATTTTTATGGATTCATTCCATGAAGCTTGGAAAACTTTACAGCATTCAGTTTAATTTGAAGTTTAATTTAAATGTAATCATTTACTAGATCAACCAAACAAGGTCCTATCCCAAGGACCATGGAACACCCTTGAATTTGTATATTAGGAAATCGCAAAACCTCAAGTATGAGTGATGCTTTAAAAATTCTTGTAATTGCATGAGGCTTTTATGCAAGTCCAATTGAAAAAGTTTCAAAACATTATGAGCACCTGTATTAATTATGAACTGTATGAAAATGTTGAATAAAATTTGTAGTACACAACAAATATTGAAAAGACAATTATTATCTGTCTCTTTTGACCAATTATTTTATTCAGAAAAACCTAAATAAAAACGAATAAAATGCATAAAAAGATTAGTTTTAAAGGTTTTGGTATCATATAAATTGTCTCGTAAATTAAAAACCTAGATATAAATTTTTCAATATGTGGTATCCATAGCAACTTAATAGGTACTCCTATGGAGTAATAGTAATGACTAATTATACTCCTCTCGACCAATGAGAATCAAGTAATGTTGTTGAGTGTCCTATAAAGTAATTGTAAGGTTACATTGTATTGKGTTAGTGATTTGGAAAAGGGCTCTCTCCCCCACCACTCCCCCCAGCATCCCCATCTACCACTTTGCACTCCCTGTTTYCTTGTCACTCATTAATGCATGTATGTTTTGCCTTTGTTTAGGGATGATGACGTTATTGGTGATTTACGGRGACCAGAAGAAGGAACATGGAGGAAGTTTGCTGTAAATTTACATCTGACATAAAATGCAAAAGACAGCGTAGGATTCCAATGTAGTTAATGTATTATAACAAGGCAAAGGTTTATTACTTTATGCTACAAAAAGAACTGCAATAAACCCTTTTATCTCGGGCATAATGATTTTCCATTTCAGACCATGTGTCATTCACTAGAGTATCATTTCTTTGCTTAGTGGTTACGCATGAAAAGATACATGAATATGAATACAACTCAAACAAATAATCTTATCCTCAAGAGGTGGTCTGAAATGGGAGAACATTATCAATGCCTAAGCTATAACGGTTTGTAGATATTGTACAATAGGGAAACATTAATTTACTCAATTTTCATCCTGTGTATATATATATAGTTTTCAAGCGTGTCGAATCTCATCAATGATCGTGAAGAAAAAGAGGCTCGTTTTCTTCTTTCTCCAGGGAATAACGAAAAAGGGTAGTTTGGGGTGCTTACTATTTAGCCGGAAAAACCGGTTGGAAAAACAAATAGTAAGTGACTGGCATTCGTATGTGCTATGGTACGTGTCTTACAATTGAAGTAATCCACGTTTCCCACTCTTTTCGGTTCTTCCGGTAGACGCGTGTACTATTTGCCGGAAGTCAAAGTTTCCCGCTCTTTTCTCACAATTAGCAAACGAATTTCTACTAACAGGATGTATTAGTTTAAATGGTAAGCACTCCTGCTTTCATTGTTTATCTGGGTACATGCCACCCTCGGGTCCAGAGGTTATGTATTTCTTGCTCCGGCGTTTGCTGTTTTGACGAGAAGTCACGCTCGCTCGTTAAATGGATGCGAAACAGAACCTCTGGAACCCAGGGTAGGTACATGCACTTGAGCAGCATGTTCAGCATAGTCATAGCACAAAAAGTGTAGTGTTCTAGTTCTGTGACATCAGTTTAAATTCGAAAATAAATCTATTTTTGATTCATTGTGTAGTATTATGTGATGGTATAGGCTGGGAAA